AAACATGACAAAAATAAATGAAAGTATAAAGCAATTTAAACCAAAATTCTATTTGCAAATACAAAAAAAATATCTTTTGTGATATACTCTATTGAACTTGTCGGGAAAGAAATTCGACTTCACAGCGGAATGAAGGCTTGACAGTAAGAAGGAAAGTACCCCCCAAGAAAAGATAACTACTCCCTAAGTGTAGAACTCTTCCCACTTATATGCAAACCTATTTGCATATCACCACACCCACTAAAAAAAAACTCCGATTGTGTGGCATATTTGGTAGCGACGTGGGCATATGTTGCATAGCTCTCTCATGCCAAGGAGGCCTGGTCAACGGTGCCAATTTAATACAATATTGTGTAGCTCCCTCGTTCCGGCGCCAATTCAATAATAATGTTACATCTTCTCTCTTGACCGGTGATCGCTAGATGTTTTAGGTCCAGAGATAAAAAAACAATAAGAACAAATTCAACAACTATTTTATTAATCGTCCTTATCTTTGTTGCCATGTTTATCACAACGGTTTGGCCGTTGTACGCTCCGACCTTTTCAGGTGGTTGGAACTGAGGACTTTATATCGCTCGCTGGGGTAGACTGCCCTGTGCCACATGCCATGTCTAAGGGACGTCAGTTATCAGTTACTTCCATCTCCAAACTCTCTACTGCCTTAACCAGGTATTGAACTCACAATCTAACTAACCCCCTTATCCACTGTGCCATGTGTCCTTGTGGATATCTGTGCATGAATTTCTGGGACTAATAAACCTTATGTCTTCAGCATTCATTTTTACTAGTGCTCATATTGCAATTTTTTTGCAGTTATCATTGCATGATTTTTACCAGTCAATTTGACGAAAGCTTAGATAGCATAAAAAATATGTATCAATATTTTGAATTTCTTTCTTCGTTTAATGATAATGTTATTAAGCTTATCAGACGATATGAAAAGAATTTACATAAAATAAATAGACAACACTTGTCTATATTATTTAATGAAACATGTATCAATGAAGAATGCTGCCTAAATACACACACACACACACACACACATATATATATATATATATCAAAAGATATATATTGAAACGAAAAAACTTATATATATATATATATATATATATATATATATATATATATATATATATATTAGTGAGCCAGACAAACCTACCTAGGTTTCACCTAAACGGATTGTCAGGGAAAGTTTGGCCAGGTAGGTTTGTCTGGCTCACTCGGTGTATCTAGGTCTGCTCTACGGTTGAATTGAGCTCTTTTGTTAGTTAGTTGTTTACTCGTATCGGGTTTTTTTTCTTTTGGGCTTCAGGCCTGCATCTGTGCGATTTTTGTCGGCAGAAGTTCATGTTTGTAGCACTTTCTTTTTTAAAACCTTTTTTCCCTCGAGATTGATTTGATTAGCAAATAAAAAATTCGAGGGTTTTTCGAAAACGAATCTAGTTATCTATATATATATATATATATATATATATATATATATATATATATATATATATATTTTATTTTGGGTGCCGTCTTTTCAATAAAATAGCTTTAGCTTACCCTTCTTTTTCTTCTCCTGTTGTACTTTTTATGCTAATTTTATTATTTTACTGTGGTTAGTTTTACCAATAAAATGTCGTTTGTACATACCATCTTTAGCCAGGAGTACACTGAAGATCCGTTAGGTGAAACCTTTGGAGGTAGGTACGTAGGTAGGTTCTGGCTCACTAGGTTTTTTTAGATTTTACTCTACTTCGTGTATTAAGCACTTTTACGATTTTACTTAATTTATACTGTCGGTGTTTTTACTTTAGACTAGGAATTGCGTTGGTGATTTACTGATTTTTAAAAAATTCTTTTAAATATCAATAATTATTTTTTCAAAACTTATTTTAAGAAAATCAGAAATCATAATATTTATTTAAAATATTTTGAACCAAGCTTAACTTAGATTCTGCGCCGAAAAGATATAATTTGAAAATAAAACAAAGCAGGCCATAAACTTTCGCGTCACCTGACAGGTGATAAATGACATATTGACGGATTCCGTGAGGCTAATTTATTCTACGGAAGGAGAAAAGTGAAATAATTTACATTTAAGTGAACAAATTATTTACCTCGTTTAAGAAATATCTTTCAGCTCTCTAATTGTTTTTTGTACCAAGCTTTAACCTTTACGCTTACGATGCTTTATGGAAAATATATTATAAATGAATTAATATAAGATTGTTAAGAGCGAGATTAAATTTCATATTTCATAAGAAAGGTATCTAATTAATTTGTAGGTAACTTTCTTATGAAATTTTATCAGAAGTGTACATAAAATACTATCATTTTATGTACATTTATTACATTTCACTGTGTTATTTGTATTTGCATTCATTTTATTATTAATTTTGATATTTCATTTATGGAAAAATGTCGTAACTGAGATTAATATAAAAATAAGATCATATAAATTTCATAAGATGATACTGATACTTGTAGGTACCCTTCTCAGTTGAAATTGAAAATTCAAATTAACTTCTCCACACTTAAATGTAAAAATCTATTATAATTAAAGAAATAACAAATAATTGTATTAAAAATTCAGTATTTAAGTTAAATACTAGACAGAAACTCAATCCACATGACTTTTTCT